AGGTCAAGACAGAGCGAAAATTATATACATAAAGAACAAACTCAGATATGAGTTTGCTGATGTTTTCCAGCTTTCAGAATAGCCAAACATTCACATTACATAAAAAATCACCAAAGTATCCAATCAGTTCAATGAAGAAGGAAGAATAATACCTTCTCCAAATTTGACATGAGTAATTTTGTGTCATTTAGCCTCAAAAAAACTGCTTAGTTCACTTATTTTAATTTCTTAGCTTGATAAACCTTATTTAGCAATTGAAAGAAGGCAATGGTGTCTATTTCATTTTAGTGTGATAAAAACTTGTGTGGTCAAGATGTTCAATCTTTCAGAAAAGCAATTTTTTACCTATAAAATGTAGCAAATCTCTCCTTCAAATATAGAAGTAGTGTAAATTTTAATTAAATAATATTGGATAAAATACTCAGATCCATGGAGGAAAGATGTTTCAGATACCAAATAATTATTTTTTTATTATTATTATGTCGATCCTGGAAGACCTAAGAGAGTTGATTTCTTTCTTGTAATAATTTCCATTCTTTCCAAATAATTGTTGGTTTAAATGTACTGGCACCACAGTAAAATGTTACAGTCCCCTGGGAACCCTACTTGACACTTAACATCTTCTCTCTTTGGTCTTTAAGCTTCAGTCTATATGTTCCCTGCTGTTTGGGCATGTGATTTAGCAATAAGAATTAAAGAATTTCATTTTCTCTCTCTAATTAACATCTTTTCACTTACTACCCTGAGTAGTTTTTTTTCTTTTTTTTCATAAAACAAAGAAATTGCAATAAAATTACGTATTTATAAAATTTGTAGGAATGGAGATGAGGATATTTGCATGAACTCGGAAGTTCCAGCTAAATGTGTGAGCTTGGGAGCAAGGGGAAATATCCATTTTATATCACTCTCTCACTCTTTCACATCCATCCTCAAACCCCCACCTACCCCCATATTCACCCCACTCCACCCCACTTTTGTTAAATACACACCCAAGACACTAAGTTTATCTCCATATTGCTATGGAGAAAAGAAAATACACTTTGCCTCCAAACACCATGTACCCTGTTAATGATGCCATGCAAGCCTGCAGTTAAATTCTGGTACCACCAAACCAATTTACAACTTGAAAGTTGCAGCACAATGGGACACACAGTAACACAAAGAAAATGTTCTATGTAAAGAAATTCTTGTGAAAAGAACAAAGTGGTTCTAATAGGCCAAGAAAAGAACTTCAGTAACTTAGGAAACTTTCAGTCTCTACTAACAAGTTACTGAGTATTTACGCAAACGAATAATGCATTCAGAGAAATACAGATAATGGAAATGCCATCACAGAGATTTAAGACTGCAATCTGATGAGCCAAGTCCCTGTTCTCCCCAATTTTCTACCATAGCTTTGTCTTCTTGAATGTTTCCAAGAACTGAATGCAGATGCTTGACCAAAGAACACAAGACATCTCCCATCATGGGCGATATGCAACATCATCATGACTCCATACCATGGTTTTATTTTCATACCCCTCAACACTTGTTTTCTGATCTCATGTGAAACCTGAACATCATCTACCTTATTTTTCATGTGGCTGTACCCTTCCTCACTGGGTTTCTCTGAATGACTTTCATGTATAGATGTAAAGAATACTAATCAAAAGATAGCAATTATCCTTCAGTTCATAGGGAACTGAGGCAAGGCTGCAGGAAACTGTTAAAAAGAGAGGAAAAGCTCCTTTCAAGGTTTCTGGGATTTCCATTGGTTGGAAGGATGTTTTCTCACCCATAACAATGACGACACATATTCTAGCTTAAGTAGTATTGTCAACTTAGACCAACTCTGCCTTCCAAGGAGTAATAACCACTCTTAAAGTACTAGATCTCTCCTCTGTTGGGGGTAACTTAGTGGACATATTTAAGGTTTTTCCTAATTGTATCTGATTTCATTTCTTGCCAGAAACCATTCAAAGAAATTATGTTCATAATTATTATTCATGGTTTATAATATAGTGATGGTTTTACATATATATAATACATTCCATATATATGTATATAATTCAAGAAAAATTTTTAAAAGTCTATTATCAAAAGATTTGAGTGTCTTACATATGTATATGTGAGTAAACACTCTTTAGTCAAGTTTTATGCTAACAAAAATAAATCATTTGAGTAATTCTGGAGGTGGGAGGTTCTAATTATTACCTGCTTCAGAAAACTGAAAGTTTCATTTTTAAGTCTCACTTAACTACATGTGTTTCCTGAGACATGGAAAAGAGTTACTTCCTCAATGCTTCCCATTTTAATACTGACATAATGAAGTTGTCCAAATAACTGACATGCAGTCATAGATATTTGAAACTTAAGTAACAACAAAAAACTGAAAGAGACAATTTACAGAATGAGCTCCAACAGTCATTGATATGTCAAAGTAGTTCTATCAACAATATTTGCACTAGAAAAGCACAAATATTTAATCAAAAAAGATAAACAGTCACAACACACAAATTTCTAAACTTGACTTTAGCAATCTGACTTTGCTGTGTCATTCAGGATAAAATTCGATTTGGGTGAAGTAGATGAATAATGTCACATGAATAGGGTGACAGACGTCACTCTAAACTCCACAATCCGGATTCAGCTTAATGTATTGTAGTCACTCAAATAAAAGCAAAACAGTGTTTAATAAAAAACAGCAACCAGGAATTGTGGAAATAAGGTATGCATTGCAAAGCAGCATACATAACATAGTAATGGTGTTAGTAAAATTAAAACTTTGACATTTTCAGCAAGATTGGCTGTGATTGATGGCTCAACAGTTGGGGGATGACTTTGACTATAGAAATAGGAAGGCGTAAGAAGGGAAAATGTAAACTCCATGAGCAGGAATTCTATCTGGAGAATCACTATGTCCCCAAAACCTATTTAAGAGGTGCTTAATAATTGTTTAATTAATATATGAAACTATTCATACCAGATTGAGGTAACCTTTCCTGTCCAAGTTTTGGAGCTGTGCCCTGGTTATGTGACATGTGAAATTAGGGGAAGCTGGGTAAAGGATATGTAAGACTTCCTTGTATCATCTGTGCACGTGTGCATGCACCTGCTTAGTCTGGTCCTGCTCTTTGCGACCCTTGGACTGCAGCCCGCCAGGCTCCTCTGCCCTTGGGATTTCCCAGGCAAGAATACTGGAGTGGGTTGCCATTTCCTTCTCCAAGTATCTGTGCAACTCTTCTGTAAATTAAAAAAAAAAATTAAAAACAGTTTCAAAATAAAAGATTATTTTTTAAAGTTTCACTGTGGAGAATCATGAGATGGTCTGGGATAGTGAGGATAGGGCTACTTGCCTGGACACTTCTCTGAAGACTTCATGATAGTGATAGCAACTTTTCATGAAAATCTCAGAAGCAGCCAAAGGAGCAATAAAAAGTGAAAGTGTTACTGCCTCAGTCGTGTCTGACCCTTTGCAACCCCAAGAACTGTAGTCCGAGATGCTCCTCTGTCTGTGGGATTCTCTAGGAAAGAATACTGGAGTGGATTGCCATTTCCTCCTCCAGGGGATCTTCCCAACCCCGGGATTGAACTTGAGTCCCCTGCATTGCATCTTTATCATCTGAGCCACCAAGGAAGTCCATAAGAAGTGAAATTAAAAAGCAATATCAGTGAACTATGTTCATTCTCTGAGGATGTTCAGAATATGAAGGAAAAGGTTTAATTTTTACATGAAATAAGATGGTAGATTAAGCTACTTTTATTATTTATTAATATATTTGGATATTAATACAATGATGGCTCTGAATAGCTAAGAAATCAGAGATTCTCAGGTTGTCATAACTGATATATGGGCTCTACTCCTAGTGTAGAATGTGGCTTTTGGTTTACTAAATGTAAACCAAATGTAGGAAGAGTCAACTTTATTTGTGAAAGAAAGGTTAAAAGAAAAAAGGAAGGCAGAGAAGGAAGGAGAGAGAAGGGAAGGATGGCAGAAAGAAAGATAGAGGAAAAGAGAGAGAGGGGAAAGATGATAGAAGTTCCATTGTATTCTTTCTAATAAATGATACACTCAGCTTCAGATCAGCGCCAAAGAGATAGCAGAAGATGTCATCTAAAAGGCCTTCAGCTGTAGGCCATTCATATAAAGACTTTATATCTCAATGTGGTTTCAAAAACAATGTTCTAAACACAGTGATTTTTAAATCATGTAAACATGTGTATGACTTTACAGATGTGGTTTGTGGGATTAAGGGTGGAGCATTCTTTGTGAGAAAGAATTCAGACAAGTGATACTAATACCACTGGGGAAGACTCTGAGGTATAGAAGTAATATTTGGATTTATTTGCTTTATTCATTCTGAAGGGTAATTTTCCACAGTAGTAAATGCTTTATCCTTAAAAACCAAAGGGGGCTTGATTAACAAACAAACAAAAAAATCCACAATGTCATTTTTTAGCGCATTTTTTTTTTCCCATCAAATCAATTGATCTTTCCTTGATGAATGAAATCCCTTCAGGCCTTGGTGACACTGACATTTAGAGAAACAGTTTCCAAAGGCAATTTATTTCTAGAGACAGGAGTTTAGTTCACACTTTATTAGTCCTTTGTTTAATATTTTCCATTATTATTGATACTTTCCTTTCACCATATCCTTAGACTGCTTATTGTATTATACACAACAAATACGGGTGTATGGATGTTAAAATTCTAAACTTTATATTGATTATACTGAGGGTTTGGGGTGTTTTTTTTGGTTTCTATATCATTTAAAGCAACATTTATTGTTACTGTTCAAAAACCTTAGGCCGCATTGACAGTGTAGAAACTTAATCACTTCAGGGAAATACCTCTTAGAACAGATGAGATTGTCTAAACAATGGAGGGTGACCCCAAATAAGAAAAACTTGGCAGCCGAAAATGAAAAACAAAACAGTCAAATAGAACAAGAGAAACAAAGTGTCCACTATACACAAAAAAGTATAAGTATTAAGCAAATCTGAGGAGGGCAGAGAAGATGGATGACTGGAGTTAGCGCACTGACTTCCTTGAAAAGGAAAATGGCTTCCCTTCCTCTTCCGGTTGCAGGTCTGTACTCATCTTCCGCCTCCTCCACCTCTCCTATTCCTTGCCACTCAAATCCCAGTTTAGGTAGGTGGGTTTTCCCTGTGGAGACCTTGCCGATTCCGTAAATAAGGAGTGTGAGTCTTTCCTGGCATGACAGAGAGATTGAAGAGAAGGTAGGACTTTCTACCAAAGATGATTTACTCTGTGTTGGTTCCATCTCACTGTGTAAGCATTACCCCTAAGGCCCAATGACTGCAAACAATGACCGCTCCTTTTTTACAGTGTCTGTGAGTCATGAGTCAGGGCCTGAACTCACTGGGTCTCTGAGGCTCAGGCTCTCTCACAGGGAGTGGTCCAGACATAAGTCAGAGCTGTGATCATTTCAGGCCTTGAGGAGGAAGTGATCCACATCCAGGCTCATCAAAAGATTCCAATCAATTATCTGAAGGGGATTACAAGAAATAATCGTATAAAAATGCACTCCAGAAAAAAGGAGAGGGAGCCAAATTGCTTGAGGAAGAAGGTGGAGGAACACAAGATTTATACTTCCAAAACACAGCAAGACCTAATGCAAAATATTTGGTAGAGAAAAATAATTGAGTATAAAATAATTTTTACAAATATTTTATCTATAAAAAGTAAGTATCCTTGATAAATGAAGTAAAGGAACCCCCAGTTTAGTTTTCTGTGAAATTAGAAAAAAAAAATGCCTAAAACTATCTTGCATAAATTAAGTATGACAATAGGTTGGAAAGTACTGATGGTAATAGTTTGTGATTAACTTTTAATCATAAATCCTGAACTCAAAAGTTCAGCACATCCCCCATTTTAGAAAGAAAAACACTTAGGTTTTCAAATCTGAGAGCACAGGCACATCAATTTTAGTAGCTAACTTCATTAACAACATTCAGTTTCGTTATACTTTCTAATTTTGCATTTATTTTTCCAGATGGTTGTAGAATATTTATATCACAAAAGTTTTCCTCCTAATAATAATATGAGCTTATTGTTTTTATTATAATTCTCTGTGAAAAAGTAAAGAATTTAAATGGAAAAAATTTCAAAATGAATGTAAACTTTAAGACCAGCTTGGAGGAAAAAGTTTTATTGCAATGAGTTTCTTAAGAAGGATGTTGTCAAGGAGCCTCTGTGTTTAAATATGGTTTGATGTCACCTAAGTAATAAAATTCAATTTGCTTTTGTGCTTTAGTATAGCATTGGAGGATTGGAAAGCTTCCCAGACTCACTAGGCTGGATATGAATTCTCACCTCCCTCAAACTTCTGTGTGCGGGGAGTGCCTTTCCCAATTATAGCTGCATTCTGACAGTAACTAACCACTATCCTGAGTGACAGGCAAAGAAAGCCAAGAGCCTTGAGGCTAAGAGAGGTAAGTGAATGTGATCTCCAATAACACAGTCAAAGAGGGTTCCTCCTAGACTTGTTCTCAGGTCTACTGTATCAGGGGCCAATTGGTGTGTATAGCTTGCACAGATGCATTGTTGAGACACAGTGAATACATCATAGGGACATAGCTACAAGGCGAGGTGATGCAAATGAGGTCACCATTTGCATTTGATGACCCCATTTGTTTTACTATTATATCAAAACAGCAACAAATAATTTAGCAGTCATAAATAATTTATTAATACAGTGGCGAATTTCTCCAGAGGAAGAGCAAATTAGTGATTATGAAGAAAAGGTATACCTCTATTTTACTGACAGCTTTCATAAGATTATTTCTAGGCAGCTAATTTTTCTAAACTTTTTTTAAGAGTAGAGAAGAAGCTGAGGATTTTTGAGTTCAGTGTTAAATTTTACACTTTAGGAAACATTGTTATTTGCAAGGGAGAAATTTAGAAAAGCAAAAAACTGTATATATTCAAACTGAAAAATCCACACAAAAATGCTAAAACAGAAGGTACACTCAATTCTGCTTCATCCTAAGAAATTGTCTTTAAATATTAAAGTTGTGATTTTTCCCATCAAATTCACACACCACACATGCACACACACATACAAGTTACCGATAATGAACAACACCTAATTATCTGATCTATGAACTAATTGAGCCATTAATAGATTTTGGAAATATAATTGCATTTGATGTGTGAATCTGACCTTTATAATCATTTCTATACCTAATCCTTTAGTTTAGTTATTAGCTTTTTAATCACTTAATTAAAAAAAAAACTATAGAAAGCCAATCTAAACGAACCATTTTTCCCTTTTCAGTTATTTGAAAGTTTATTTCTGAGATAATTGAATCTTCCTTGAACCTTTTCTCCATAGTTTTTCACCTGCTCACCTGTAAAGTAAAAATCCAACAAGAGGGGAGTCTTCTAAACCAGGTTTTCCCAAAATGTACTTCACGGAACATTTGTTCCACAAGATAGTATTAGATATTCTGAATTTAAATATGAAGCAGAAAAGTCAGATTAAATAATATTGACTAAGTTTCTTTATTCTATTGTTCTTTAGAACTTTTATTCTTATGAACGCTTCTTATGAATATCCAGGAAGTGAAGACTATAGGTGACACTTCCCGAGAATATTGGGAGCTTATCACGTGGTACCAATGCAGGGGAAGTAAGAGATGTGGGTTCGATCCCTGGGTTGGGAAGATCCCCTAGGGGAGGGCATGGCCACCCACTCCAGTATTCTTGCCTGGAGAATCCCACGGACAGAGGAACTAGTGGGCTATGGTCCATAAGGTCTCAAAGAGTCCAACACAACTGAAATAACTTAGCATGCATGCATGCACACACACCAGGATACTGGTTAGAAAGAAAAGAAAGAAAGTGAAGTCATTCAGTCGTGTCCGACTCTTTGCGACCCCATGGACCCCATGGACCCCAGGCTTCTCTGTCCATGGGATTTTCCAGGCAAGGGTCCTGGAGTGGGTTGCTAGTTCCTTCTCTATGGGATCTTCCCGACCCAGGAAACGAACCCAGGTTTCCTGCACTGCAGGCAGACGCTTTACCCTCTGAGCCACCAGGGAAGCCCCAGGATATTGGTTATGGAACTTCTATTAATTGAACGTTTTAAAGGGTTAGACTTTTTGAGAAATCCATTAGATTAGGTTCAGGAATTTTTTTAAGTGACATCTTAGGTAACCAGAACTTCTAACTGTAGCAGAGTGATATGCCTGATTAATTGGAACAGAAACAACCCTAAACACAGATCACTGTAACTTATTGACAAGAGTGTGTGAAAAAATTGAGATTTTTTTCCTTTCAATTTTAGTACTGGCATTTCACAGAAGAATATGTCCAAACAACAAATCGACATATGAAAAAGTTCAGAAAGGAAATGCTTATCAATAGTAGAGGTGAGAAAAAATAAAAAAACCGGTGGTATATTCAAATAATGAAATACTATAAAGTAATAAAAACAAGTCACAGATTTATAAAGCACTTCAAATAAAATCTCAGAAACTTAAATGCATAATATAAATATATATTTATGATCTCATTTATGCAACTATCCAAAAATCAGGAAAAGTAACCCTTTTTCTGGAAGAGGGATGCTTGCTTAGGTGTTAAAACCATAAATAAAAGCAAAAGACAAAAATAGTTACCATGACAAGCAGAATTTTGGTCAGCTGTAGTAGGGATGGGGCTTCCCAGGTGGCGCTAGTGGTAAAGAACCTCCCTGCCAATGCAGGTAACATGAGATGCAGGTTCGATCCCTGGGTCAGGGAGGTCCCCTGGAGGAGATAATGGCAACCCATGCCAGTACTCTTGCCTGGAGAATCCCATGGACAGAGGGGCCTAACGGGATACAGTCCATGGGGTCACATGGAGTCAGACACAACTGAAGTGACTTAGCATGCACGCAAGCACATAGTAGGGAGGAAGAGAAGGGATGGCTACTGGGAAGGGCCCCATTAGATGCTGGAGGAAGGAATCTGGGGTGCTGGAAACGTTCTTTCTTCTCCTGGGTCGTAACTACTGGGTGTTTGCATTGATAGAAGTCTTAGTGCTGCCCTTTTGTGTTTTGTATTTTTTTCTAAGTGAAAAGAAAAGAGCAACTCACATTATTTCGAGGTTAGAGAGTTCAAAACTTAGGTCCAAACAAATTTACTTTTTTTCCAAGCCACTTTTGGAAAATCTGTGTTATCTCTGAGTATGACCATGCTACGGGGCAAGAAGGATACAAAGCACCCTCACAAGTCAGACAGTTCAATTTCAATCCCTTCATAAAAGATTAATATATGTAGTGACATGTAGGAAACTGCAAATTAAATAGAAATGGTGGTTCTCCATCAACATCTCTTTTGTCTCAACAGTTACTACCTTCCAAGCACTGACAACGAGCAGTCTCTACAAAAAGGACATCAAGTTGTCAGCATAGCTCCCAAAGCCGCTCCAAACGAAGGATGGTCACAACCGTGGAAGGTTAACATCTGTCTTTGCTTTTGGCTACTCTATCATAAATTGCAATAAAGAGGAAAATGTCATGATAAGTCACCAGTAACTGAATAAAATAATAAAAATTAAAAGACAAGACCATAATAAGATTTCAAGGTTTGCTGAGGCAACAACATCTACAAACAATTTTTCTCTGCTCCAGAGGCTACCCTCAACAATTTCACTAGACTCCTACAACTGAAATCATGTTTCTTAATTCATCCTTTATAAAGATTTAAATCACCTCTGCCCTCCACCTCGGGTGTAAGAAATCAGAGGCCCCTAAGTGATTTTCAGAGAGTCAAATGCCTTGTCATTTATAGGGTGGCAGCCAGGATTAATGACCTTTAATTTGAGCTCAGATAACTTTAACTCCCCATGGGGGTAAAGGGAATGGAAAATCTGGACAATCAGTTCCCTAAACACATTTTGGTGAGTCCATGCTGATGTGCTTGTTGTTGCTGCTAATGACATTCCTGATAAGACATTTTAATGGAAAATATTTTAAAATTATTTATTGAGTGCTTACAGAGCATTAGGCACTTTACTGATCCCTTTGCTTCAACTATCCAATCATCTTAATAAAAACCCAGTGAAGGGGTTTTATATCCCCATTTTATAAAAAAAATTGTTTTACCTAACCTGAGTCCTTAACATGAAAAGTTCTAAGATGTTGGGAATAAAGATACAAACATGCAGTAGTTCATGTAACTGTTTTGAAGGTTGAGGTCGGTACGGAAAGAGCGAATTAGCCAACATGGCATGGTCAGGCTCTCTTGCCCCACAGCCTCTTGCTCTTGCCCCACATTTTGCAAATAAAATGTAACAGCTGAGATCACTTATGGCACTGGTCATGCACCTCACGAGGTACTTGCTTGGCCATGGGCTACTTTTGTTACATAAGCTCCACCTGGAAAGCCCTGGGGTCTACGCTATGTGATGTTACAGCCGCTGCTTCGGCTGCTGCACCAGACAGGAGAAGATAAATGTGTCTGCAGTTCCTACTGCTCCTTGCATCTTCTTCCAGCCTTTTAGCTCACTCCTTGCTTCTCTGGGTTCAACAAAGAGTGCGCACAGTGAGAGACAGAGACACAATCGGCGCTCTGAGCAGGATCAGCTAGACGGGGTGGCATAGGTGGCTTTGAAAGCGCTGGCACTCTTGGCAATAAACCCAATATGTTGCTTCTTAAACTGGTTCTTGGACCAATTGCATTAGAATTATCTGGGGAAACTAGGAGCTCACAGATTCTATGTTTCTTTTGCAGACTTAAGTTCTGGGGTATCAGCTAAGAATCGTCATTTTTAGCCAGTTTCCTAGGTGACTCATATGCAAGCTGAAATCTGAGAACTAGTCGTCTGCACAAAGCGGGCAGTGAAATGGTTAAACAGTCAACCCCCTGAACCAGCTGCCTTTAAAGAAGGGAAGTTAAGTATTGCTTCACAGAAGGCATTGTAACTTCTTTCACTGGAACAGTGGAAGAGGGTTGTTGTTTCTGATATCAGATTTGGTCTAAAAGATTCTTCCAGTCCAAAGCTGATTCCCACCACTGCAGTGTTCAGGAATAAAATGAAAGAAATACAGAGACAGAGCTAACTTGTCATCCCCAAAAAAGCATGGAGCTCGATTTTTGCCATGTATTGAAATATACAACTTAGCAACTAAACAACAAAAACAACTGATATATAACTTAGGGGCCGTAAATGGAGATATTGTCTGTTGAAGTAGAGTCTGTGTTCAAATACTGGTTGCTCTTAGTCTTTCCCCAGGCGGTACTGATCATAGAAAGGTACAGTGTTCAGCTGGTTCCTGTGAATGCACCTGGGTAAAGCTTCCACCTGTTCCTAATGGTGAAGCTTGGCAGTTACTTTCAGGGCCATACTCTAGTTTCTGAATCTGCTGTTCATTATTAATTATGCTGAAGCTCAACATTTACTAATTTGTACAGAACTCTTATTCTAATGTGGGTTGTGGGAAATCCACAGTCATTTTTTGTCACCATCCTACAGTCTAGAGTTGGAGATCCCTTCAAGGGATCCTGGTGAAGATAACTGGGCCAGTTAGTTCCCACAGCCGCCTCCAGACCCTGAGGGTCAAGGAGGCAGAGTAAGTCACCAGCACCCAGAGAGATCAAGTCCTAACACATTATTTCCCCCAATATTATCCTCTCTTTTACCAACAGATCTCAAAAGACTACAGTTTAACTCGAGGACAAAGTGAAAGAAGTAGCTTTCTCTAATTGAGT